CAAATTTTCCAAAATGATCGTTTTCAGGTTATGTCTCAGTTTTTCTGACAGTTGTGGACAGTTGTCACATTAGGTGGCCAACTTCACGTTTACATTATTGACCAAGGTTCACAATTTTCCAAATTACAGACCTCTAGACAAGTCGACAATTAGCCATTGTAATGCTACTAGTGGAAAAACTATTTTTTAAACCCCTAAGTGATAAGGGTGACCCACCAAACTTTTTTTATTTTTTAGACATTTTTTATTTTTATTTTTTTAAGATTTGCCATCAAAAAATACATATAACCCTAAATTTTGACCCTTCTACCACCAACCCCCATTTTTTAATAACGATATGAGTATCTTTGCTTTCATCCACAGATGCGCAATAGGGTTGCAAGATGACCATTGAATATAATCATTGTCGTACGATAAATTTTTATGTATTTATTTTAATTTAATTTTTTATTTAACTGTGTACCAAAATATTCACTAGAAATGCCAAAACAACGTTTGGCGGGTCGGCTAGTTTCTAATATTGTATATATTTTAATTATATTTCTTCAGGTAATTATTGTATTTTATTTTTTTAATTCAATGTTTCAGGTAGAATGATTTTAATAAAACGTTAGCGCTAATTGCAATCTACTCATTCTTTACTCATTATACTCGTATTGTTAAATATTTTTATTTCGCTGTTCATTAGGGGTCCGACAGTGTTGTAGAACACAGGCCCGCAGTTTGATTGTTACGCCACTGGATGGATACGTTATTTTGTCACTTCTAAAAACCGAAATGGTATTGTAAAATCGGAAATGCGATATCAAAATTTTATTCCGATAAATCGCTGAGTAAAAACAGCTCCCCCTGGTGGACAAGGTCCACATTAAATTAAGTCTGCAACCAAACCAGAATCTAAGTAAACCTGTATTCTGCTACGGCATCATAGCGCGTTTAATGGCGATTTCTCGTTTCAACAGATTCTGTCTTTTCGAGAGTTATTTACCTCAGTCGTGAATTTTTTAGGATTATAAATGGTATCAAAAGAAAGCTGACACTTTTCCCCAGGGGACCTCCTATCTCAGAATGCAAATCACTTCAGCACTTCTTCAAAAAATGCATCAATGTACCGGTTAAATCTGGTGTAAAAATTGGTCAACTTTATAATTTTTTTTTGTAAAAACTGCGGACTAGATATGAATATAAATACGGAGGTCCCCTGGACTCAAGTTTGTTAATTCGAAATATAATTTTTTTAAAGCGATATATCCCGTATTTTTAAAATGCAACTCCGGAAACCACGACGATGTTTTCAATGTATTTAGTATAGGGCGAAACCGATCCAGACGCGAGCCTTAAAACGGTCAGTATACCTAATCGCATTATTCCATTGATACCTACCTACCGAAAACGTTGCCAGATGAGCCTAACACAAATTTGCCGATATTTCTCGTCAACCAGATATTATTTCATTTAGAAGTTTCTGGTAAATAAATGGGATTATTGTAATGAACATATAAAACAAATAAATTGTGATTATTATTTGTTGTTTTAACCCATTAGACGCTTATAGGCTTATAAGCATACTTTTCTTGAAAAATCGGTAATAAATTCAGTGAAACATCTTTGTGCCTTAATTCCTATTGGTAAACTGGGATTTTGAATAGAGGTCGCAGGAAAATTTTGTATGGTTTTATGGTTTATTTACATAATTTTCTTATTTACAATGAATGTTTTTGATATATAATACAAGTTCTTGATATTATTTATTTTAATTACATTTAATAAACCATAAAACCACAAAAATCTTTTTTTAACACAAATTATATTTCAATAAATTTTCAGTAGCGAATTATTATCGATACACTTAATTGTGTTTACATCATAAAATTTATTTATTTTACTTCATACTATGTCAAGTTTGACGTTTTACTGGATCGAACTATTCCGGTAAAATAAAAAAAACGGACAAGTCCGATAAAATTGAGCCAAAAACACGGAGGTAGAAGAGACACTCTTCTACCTCCGTGGCCAAAAAGGACAAGTCTTCCATTTCCGGAAGCGGCCACTGACCCTTTTGGGTCTCTTTTGCTTTACCTGTTATTGTAAATACAAATGTAAATTTAGTACTTCTGTAACCGTCCTGTATTAAACATCGAAATCGAACGCTGTCTATTATCTCGCACGCAAGAAAACAAAGGTCCTTGGAGCAATATCAAAGTACAATTCGGTATCACATTGTCGTATCAACCAGATTACAAAAAATACTGGTAGGACGAGCCGAGTTGCACAAACATTGGTCCTTCGAGACGGATTGCACAAAACATTCGTCCATCGAGTCGGATTATACAAAACAATAAGTCCTGTAAAGTGTTATAAGTACTATGTGTTTAAACATATGATGCTGATTTGCACGAATAAACAAATTAAAACATTTACCAAAGAGCGGTTGCTAACGATGTCAGAAATAGTGACTCGATTTGGATTTTTTCTCAAAATAATAATAATATTATCGAATAAAAAAGTATGTTGACAGTATGAAATAAAATACATAACAACATACGTCCGGTAACTCTTTTCGCAGTACTCGTTTCGAAATTAAAGACTCGGCTACCTACTCGTCCTGAAACATATTACTCGTACTGTAAAATTTGAGCTACCGGACCGGACCGTATTTAGAATAACTTTAATTACCATTTATGTTTTCATCAACACTAACAAATATTTAAAATAACAAGTAATAATTTGTTTGTATTGTTTATTCATTATAATAATTCCATTTATTTACCAGAAACTTTTAAACGAAATAAAATCTAATCGACTAGAAATAACGGCAAAGTTGTGCTAGGCTCATCTGGCAAAGTTGCAAATTATATAAATGGTTACTATGAGATTTTTACACATTGTTTTCGTCGCCCTCTGTCGAGTGGTAGCTTTATTAAATGTATTGTTGCTGCGATTTGGGTTATCTACGCGCGCGATTGGTGTCCAAGCTTTTCGCCGGCGTTTGACGGCCGACTGTTGGTGCGCCATCTCTTGTTCGCCGGCCGTTGGCCTGTTCGCTCCAAACAATAGCATGGGTCTATCTGTATGTATTTAATCAATGCCTGTGTACAATTTTAAACACCCTTCCTTCTTCTCCCTGGCACTCTCGAACAGTAAAGAACGAAATAAAATCTGAAAACCGTACCGGCGCTTTTAAATCACCAACAATACCCACAATCTCAATATCACAAATTTAAACACACGAAGCAAACGAGAAATCTGAATGAAAATACTTAAGTTATTACGATAGTGTGGTGATTTTACACTCTATTAACACATATTACACACACTCCAAATTTCTATGGCCAAAAAATCTGCTGCATATTATACTCTTTACCCGGTCTTCGTAAACTATATCGCCAGCTATTAAACCAAGTTGCGCGTTTCACGTGGACCCAGCTCTCCGCATGAACTCTCATTTCAACATCTGTTTGAGTAATAACATAACTGCAAACTTTAACTAGAAACCGTGTGTTGCGCTTTTGTCACGTGTTCTTGTACCCTTTTATTTCAATTAAGCTCAAATTCTATCTATTTCGAATTTATAACGATGATTGAATGAGTATTAAAATTACTTACTTGAATTAATTACGCCACACTCTATCAAGAATTGCAACCAACAAAGAATTTACATGATGTTAAATTAAGCCACACTTTATCAACAATTTTGAACAACAAAGAATTTATAGAGATTAAATTATCACATAAAAAAACATACTTATTCAATACGATCTAAATCACAATGAGATGGTCTCGGAAACGCTGCGCTCTAGTGCGGCCATAATAGTTCAAATTCAAGTCGCAAGAAAATAAACTTTTAAGAGAATAATTAGACCCGAAACAAGCTATTAGACCTGTAAGAAAATATTAAAGTCCTTCCGTTTTTCGAGTCCACGGAGATATTAATTTGACTGTAAATTTTCAAGGCTCTTTCTTTCAAAATAGATCATTGTCTAAGATCGTTTCAAATGCTATTAAGTATCTTGAGGAGAATTCACGAAGTGTGGATAATATACTAACTTATATAAAAAAGAGCGCGAAATTTTAATTTTAAACCGGGACACTACATTCGAGTCCTTTGACATTTAAAAGAATTTAACACTGTTTTTACTTCACTCAAGTTTTCCCTATTTTTTTCTCCTAAAATTCAAAAAACACCTTTTTACATCCACCAATTTTCCAAAATTCGCCTTGGGGAGTAAATGGATTCATTTTGGCGGGATTTGATGACATCATCAACTTTCTGATAGGGATGAATAAATAAATTTTAAGTGAGAGTGTCGTACTGTACAACATACTGAAATAAGTTTTTTTTTCTATAACTTTTGTGTATAAGGTTCAAAATATGAGTTTATTGTGAAGGCCTAGGTAAAGTAACAAAACATTGAGGTGACGTCATTAGTTTTTTTTAGCGGGAATAAATAGACTAATTGACGTTTACAAGTGTACGTACATTAATACACTTTAAATATAATTTATCTATCAAAATAAAATATATATAGATAAATAGATAAATGTTGATAGCGAATTACCAGTCGGTTTTGTAATTTCTGAATTAAAATTTAAAGTAAAAAAATATTTTATTCGGTATTATTTGATTTCTTTGATATCCATACCAGAATTTGATGACGTTATCGAAAAATAATATTCTGCGGTAATATTATTGTATTTTTCTAGCTTACCAGAATATGTATTTAATATATTTTCTTTATTATCTCAGAAATAGCTCGTCCAACTAGTTTTACAATGAAAAACAAAAAATAAAAAATCTATGTTGAAAAATTTTACAAATTTTATTTCACGTTCACAGACAAAATGTTTTAATTTTTTTATCTTTCCTACTTTTGGTTTCTTTTTTTTTGTAATGTATTTACTGGTATGTGGAAATATCAGTTGACCTTTACATACCACAAAATTTATTTTTGTTCCATTTCTAGTTTAATAATAATTTACTTACACATATTCAATTTCAGATTCAATCAATTCAACTATTGAAACAATCGTAGTTACCATTCACCTCGAAACAGACTGGGCTAAACTTCAAGTTCCACCAAACAAAAACACAATCCCTTGCAGCCCTTACATGCGAGAACTGACCCAATTCATCACACGAGTCTATCACACCTATCTTTCCAATTTTAACAACAAAGAAGTATTATCAGCCAAGTAAATACCTACGACATATTTTGATTATTCGTTTTAAATTACATTATTCCAACAGATGCAGTGATGTAGCCATCCGTTGTATTGAACTCTTGGTACGTCATTCGTCACTCTTGCGCCCACTATCCCAAGGTGGCCGAGTTCGTTTACATTCCGACTATCTGCACCTAGAACACTCGTTAAAAGTAATTTGTCCGCATTTGAGTGACTTGGGACGCCCTTATCGACTTTTGAGGTCAATGGCGTCTCTAATAACTCTAACACCGGAAGAAATAGTCGCCAGTCAAGCTTCCGAAAGCTCGGTACCTCACAGTACAGTTTTATTGATGCTGTTTTCGTACGCTGGGAGTGAACTGGCAAGTCCCCACCAAAACACGGCATGGTCCCTCCCGAAATTGTCAGTCTGGTTGGATGAACACCCTTCAGAAGCCGACAGACTAGATTTAATAGCAGGGGCCCTACAAAAGTACGAAAATTTAGTCAGGCAGAAGAATTCCGTTAATTACGATCCTGTGTATCCTGTGATGAGCAAGTTTTTGGAAAGTGCAGTGAAGAGTCTTAAATAAGGTCATTTTTAGATGGAGTATTTCCACTAAGGTTAAGTGCAGTTATTAAAGATAATAAATTAGTAATGTCATTTGTTTAATTTGCCCAAGGTCCGCATTACTTTCAAAACTCATTTTACATTGTTTGAATGAGAGTCTGATGATAATATTTGGTCAAAAATACCTGGTTTTATATTGGTACGAGTATAATAAATTATGTTATTATTTACGCAAATTGTTTTAAGTTGAAATTCGTCATTTAAATTTAATAAAGCATTGTGTCCTTGCTGGGGTATCCCGGTTGACGTTACGCCACTGGTGACGTAAGTTACAGCCCTCTAGTGGCGCTATTAATAATAAGAAACAATAGTTTAATAATGAGCCAATAGAAATCGCTCTCGCACATGCGCGCTGATTGGTCGCGTTTTTGCTAATCACAGACACACGCTATTGCCGCCTACAATGGACGCGACGAAGTTCTCCTCGCCGCGGCTGTCGTAACTTTCTCCACCAAGTTTATTTAATATTGAAAAAAATTGAACATCGGCAAGATCTTCAACAACTGTGAAAGGCAGGAAGGAGGAAGGAAGAACATCGTGGAAAGAGGAGTTTAACATCAGCCAACCGGCCCCTTTACCATCATGGCTGAAGCTGAACAACAACAGCAACAACCAGCAGCGGAACCGCCGAAAGCCAATAAACAGAAAGAAGTGATCGGTGAGTAAATGCATGTTTGTCGAAATTTGTGTGGGCCCGGCGTCCATCTTCGTTTGATGGAGCACATGGCCCCAGATTTCCAGAACTACGTGACAAAGGGCCGCTTTTGACCCATTCGTGTCGGTTTTCCCATTTTCGGCGTCAGTTCGCGAGTTTTGATTGGCATTCGTCGAAATCACGGCCCTTTTGATGCTGGTCGAGTTCGCGCGTTGCAGCCGCCATTGTGAGAGGACGCGATAAAATCGTAAAATCGTCCGACTAGAACGAAGATTCATTAAAAAGGTCGCATCTTTGGTATTTACGTGAATCATTATCAAACTCATTCGCAATTTCATTTCACTATTTTATTTATAAGTGTAGCCGTCACGTGGGAATGACCCGGCTTCGGATTGTTTTTGTCTATTTTCGGCGTCACGCTTATTTTTAGCCAATACTTCTAATTTCCGGTTTGGGATGAGGTGAAAAACCTGAAATTAACATTTTGGCTTGTGTTGGCCGCAAAAAATCCCGCACAAAAGCGAAAAAATGCGCTTTAGAAAAAGTGGGGAAAAAACGCCAACCTTGAAAAACAAAAACCCTAAAAATTCAAAACTAATTTAATTTTTTTTTGCAGCCAGCAAAGTAACTGGAACTGTGAAATGGTTCAACGTTAAGAGCGGTTACGGGTTTATCAACCGAAACGACACCAAGGAAGATGTTTTTGTACACCAAGTAAGTCACATTTTGTGTTTGTTTAAAAAACTGCGATTATAATTGTTACGCTTTCTTATCGGCAAATATTTTTACCACTTTTGCAATCAGTTGTCAAGGCTCGTGCATTTTATTCAAATGTAAAGGTCAAGTCAATATTTGTATGCATAATGTTGATAACATTGTGTGGTGTATAATTTAAATTAGCTGATTGTTGCACGCTCCATAGATCCATCTCTGGTTTTCTAAAGAGATGCTTGAGTCATTGGTGTGCTATAGAACGATAACTCCAGTGTTCAAAACGTGTTGCTAACCATTTGTTTGCGGCTATTTGAACATTGGGGAACACTTGAAAAATTGTTTTTGTAGTAGCGTTTCGCCACTATCATTATAGTGATAGTAATTCATGTTTGCCACAGTTATCTCTAGATAGCGTAATTCAACTTTCGCTTTTGTAAACAGAATCATTGATACGGGATTTAAACTAAAAATTAAGAAAACAGTTTACTAACTTGGTACCCACTTGTAATGGGAGATATGTGAGTTATGTGTTGTTTTAAAACTGATATGAGTTTATAGGCGATTGTTACATTTTAATGTTTCGAATGTTTTTTTTTTGTATGTGGAAAGATTATGTACTTATCAACGAATTTATGGCCAGTCGTTTTAAAATTTATGTGTGGATTAATTTTATTGAGGGAACATAAAGATTGCTGTGAATTAGAGGAAATGACAGCATAAATCGTCAACATTGTTTGTTTACATAGGTTGTCTTACTTGAATTGTGGTAATCACCATGAAAATAGAAAGAGGAGAAAATTGGGATGTGCTGATTTGCTTGAATACAATATTAATAGTGTTTTTGGATGTTGTTTGTGAGCGAAAATGTAGAAGCATTATTTTTAAATCAGGAACAAGCCAAAGTGTGTGTAGTTTTGTATTCATTAAAATTATTACTATTACGTGACGAAGGTTTTTTGCCAAATATTGTTGAAGGAATAACCTGAACTGGCACCGGTTCTGATCATTTGTTTTTCTTTCAGTAATTTTTTTTAATGTTGTGATACATTTAAATATTTAAAAAATTGGTCCTCTTTTGTTGCGACTGGTTCTCGTCAATCAATAACAATTTTACTTCCAGTTTAAACTTCGTAGTAACACTTCATTTAAATAATGTTTGGAATGTTTTAACAGATGGGTCACCATTTATTTTATAAATAGATATGAACCGGCGCATTAGACTTCATAATATTTTACTTTTTAGGTACACTGTACTTTTAAACAATTTAGGTAATGAAGGTAATTTTCAAAATAGTGTGTTTTTAAAATAGTGTTATCTTTAGTTATTACACTAGTATTTGTATTCGCGTTTTTTGTATTGTCTATTAAAACTGTTGCTGTAAACAAATAACTAATCTTATCTAAAAATATCCTTGGGAATTTCTGATTAGAAAATGTTTCAAATGCCTTCCTGTAACATGTAATAATTACAGAAAAAAATGTTTATTGTTTATTATTATTTGTTGTTTAGTATTATTGAGGACATAGAGACTAATTATGTGTCGTTTTTAACACAAGTGTCAGAATTTGTGTTCGAAATTTCTCACGAATTAAGTAAACATTTTCTTTGTCAAGAATGAGAGAATGACGACAAACCTAATAAAAAATATCTTTTAATTCTGTAAAAGAAAGTATTAGCAAATGTTACCTCGAAACAGCATAAATAGTTGAAAACATGTTTCGAACTTTTCGTTGTCTTGGTGTTACAACACAGATGATAATGCTAATGCTAATTTTTATTAGAACTTTTATGGTGAAGACATAAAACTCCATATCCTGTTTACAAGTAAAAATTCACCTTGTCCTTCTTAAAATAATAATTCATTTCGCAATTAATTTATTGCTGCATTTATATTGAAATTTATTTAAACACGAAAACACTGATCACTTCTAGTTGAATTAATGGTAGAAATTGTCTTTAAAAAATATTTTCCACTCTTCGACCGATAAAACTTTAAAAAAAGAAGCGTTATCATGAGGATTATCAAAGACCACCTTTTTGTCGTTTTTGTGTCAAGTTTAATGTTTCTTTTACTCTGAAATTCCAAGTCAAAGATTTGTTGTAAGTGTTCTTAATTGTTGGAATTCGGTAATTTATAACAATAAAAAATTCATCACATGAAATATCTTTAATTGAGTCGAATTTTTTATTTTCATTTGCTATTGAAGCGTCTGTTTTATGTGGTACTTCGGAAAAAATATTTGTAAATTTGTTACATTATGACGATTCCTTGTATTGCAAATAAATTATAATTATACATCAATGAAATAATTTTTCCACTTCTAATAATGATGAATATCATGTAGATGGTAAAACGCTCAGCAAACTTTATTTATAACAGTGGGACGTCAAAATTGTACATATGTATAAAATAACATACTTTTACACATGTAGTTTATGAATCCGTTTTGAGTTTTTAAAATTGTATAACATTCTGCAACTTAATTTTGGATCTGCAAAACTGAATGCTTTGAAATTTTGCAGACGCTTTAAAATTAACGTAAGCATGGTTGGTAAATTTTTAATCAAAATATATTTGATCATAATTTGTCGCTTTTAAGCAATTATAGAGATTTTTCAGTTAAATTAGTTTCTATATTTTTATCAAAACCGTAAAATATGAAAGGAGATTCTCAAAATTACTATGCCACTATTGTCATCTCAATAAAATTTTATTAGATTTAGACTAACCTACCTGACAAGAACCTCATCAATTTTATAGATGACGTGCCCCTTTAAAATTTAATTAAATCTCAGTATTTTGTCACTGTACAGCGCGACTCACTTAAATTCATAAAATAAATTTAATACTTACTTGTTCGGGGTATGACGACCGACAAGCTTATCTTAAAAGTCTAATTTGTGGTTTTACGATTTAGGGGTTTGAATATTTAAAAGTTGTAGTATTTTATGAGTCTACAGAAATGATGAAATGATCTCATTTCTCAATAGTTAACAAACGGATGGATTTATTAAAAAAAAGTAACTGGTAGTAGTTTCATTGTTACGAGAATTGCACGTCCTTTAAAACAATAAAATTTAAATGACAGTGTGTTGCTATCAGATGTTTTTAGATTCAGTTTTATCGTTCATTGGTAGCGAACAATAAGTTATTTAAAAAATAATTTGAATTTAGAATTTCCAAAAAGTTAATTTGTTTGAAATCTGTCCATATTTTCACCAGAAATTTTTGCTGGAACACTTCAGAGCAAGAAATAGGACATTGTAATGCGGAGTTTACTTAGTAATGTACATGGGAAACCTTAAATATGCCATGGGGTGAGGGTGAAAATTGTTTTGATTTAGTATTTTAAAATTTGGAAATAGTCTTTGGGGTCAGTTATACAACGTGATTATAAATGATTATATCAAGGGCGGCTTTGAAATAAAAAAATGTGTGCCGCTCCTTACAACTGTTGAGTTTTTTGCAATGGACGTGCTAGTTAACCCTAGTCATTCAATTATAATTGGCCACATAATTAGATTAAAACAAAATTATTCAATTTTATAAATTGAAACTGACACCTCATTGACACAAGTGACATTTGTACATCGTTTGATTCATTGTGGCAACAAAGCGGCACAAAATAACGAGATGATTGATGACACCTGTAGTGATGCATTTTGTGTTTTTTTTTTAGTCGGCCATTATCAAGAACAACCCTAAGAAAGCCGTCCGTTCGGTCGGCGACGGCGAGATTGTCGAATTCAGCGTCGTCGTCGGCGAGAAGGGCAACGAGGCAGCGAACGTGACCGGCCCGAACGGGGAGCCGGTCCGAGGTTCGCCGTACGCGGCCGATCGCCGCAGAGGCTACCGCCAGTGGTACTACACTAGGGGACGCGGCGGTCCAAGGCCGCGCCGCGGACCGCCACGCGAGAGCCAGAGCGAGGGCGAGGGCAAGGACGGCACGGCGTCGGGCGGCGAAGGAGGCGGCAGCAACGGACCGCCGCGCCGGTATAGGCCGAGGCGCGGGCGCGGAGGCTACGTTGGCGGCTACTATAGAGGACCGTACCGCGGCCCCCCGCCAGGTAGCGATCAGGACCAGAACGGAGATGCGCCGAGAGGGCGCGGGCCCCCGAGGAGATTCTTCCGCAGGAACTTCCGTGGCGGAAGAGGCGGCGGAAGGCGACCACAGTCTCAGGACAGCCAGGGCCAGGCTGGAGAACAGGTTGGTCAGGATGGACCCCGTGGACAACAACGTCCCCGCTACCGTAGACGCGGACCACCACGTCCACGTGGCGGAAACTCCCAGTCCGAGTCCGGAAACAACAAGGTACTTTTTTTTAGTTTGTTGCTACGGTTTGGATCGAGGTTGCGTTGTTGTCCGGTTGGGTGGAGAGTGTAGGTGTTAGGGTCGTGATAAATTGCTGGATGCAGCCTACGCTTTCCATGTATATGACCGATTATTTGATTTTTTTACTTTATGCTTCCGTTCGGGAAATCACGATTTTGTAGTTTATTTTTAATGGAACGAATGAATTATGCAACCAAACATACATAAAGTGAACGTAATTTTTATTATTAACGTCAAGTAATGAGGAGGAAGTTAGGGGAAAACCCGTTATATTAAAAAAATAACAAAGTTGTTTTCTGTTAGGATGTGCTAGAGAAAGATAACAAATTATTATTTTTTGCAATATTATTCATAGAATCTAGCTGTAAATTTGGTTTCCTGGCTTCCGTGCTTGTATTCGTTAATAATAACTGACTACCTTGAATGTCTTTTGAAAGCAATGTTTATTTATTTAGCACTAAAAACGATGTACTCAATTTTGAATTAGACTTTTCACAAAAATATACATCCTCTAAATATTTAGAGATTAATAAGTTATCAACTAGGATTAGTTTAATCTTGTCATGTTCAAATATTTTTTATTTGTAATTATATGTGTATATCTAAAATATGTCTTATCAGTTTAATGCGATAAAGAACATTATCCATAACAACAAAAAATGTTTCCTTATTTACACGTAAATATATACTTTGAACATAACCAATAATGTAAGAACTTTTTTAACGACGGATGTTTATGGTTGAATTGTATATTGTTCATTCCATTAAAAAATTAACTATGCGGTAAACAGTATATCTGGTCATGTGTAGAGTTGTTAATGCACGGACTACAGAATTTTTAGGATTGAGACGTTCCGTGCTCTACCTAGAACCCGTTTTAATACAAACATCGTAAATTAGCTTTACATTATAATCTTTCAATATTTTCGACTCGTGGTATCTGTGATTATAAATATGGAGTTTCGAGAACTTTATGTTACACAAAGAACGCTATTTTTGTATTCGTTAAAAAAAAGTAGTGAAATATAAAATATAAATTTACTAAAATACAATATGAACGACACCTACATACAGCGTTTATAATTGCGCAGTTAAAGAATCGTTTCGCTTACACAATCCCAATGAAGCGGCAAAATTTCGTCGCATTCCAAAGCCCACTTGATTAGGTACATTTTGTATGAAATCTACTAATTTTTTCTATTTTTTTGCAAGTGCGTTAATCTAGATTTTTGCTTCGCGTGCTAGTACCAGGAAAGCCACGTGTTTGAGGCAATTGAATTTAGTTTTTGCATGCGATCAAAGTATACCAAGAATTCGTAAGCAAGTTGGAAAAAACTTTACGCGCACACGAGGCTTCAAGGTCGGTCGTATAAACAAAGAAAAATTTCAGAATTGAAAAAATCACATTTCGATTTGCTGCAGATTTTTGTTTCGTCGCACAAATTGATAAAATTATCGAGTTATTCTTTTTTTTTTTTTAAGTAAGTGATAAAGTCATATCTTGAGATGAAGCCACGATTATAATCAGTCTGCATAAACAAGAATTTATAAATAAGAAAGATTTATATCAAGCTGTTTTGAAATTTGAGTTCTGTCCTAAATGTCAAACATAACCTAACATTTTAAAGTTATGTGTTTGTTACTTGATGTTTTTGCATTTTTTTCAAAAACAAATGTGTGCGTTTTATGAATTTTGTGCATTACTTTATCATAACCCTGTATATTCATGTAGAGATTTTTGAAATTCTTTGATACTTTAATATTTGCAGTAAAATTTTGTATTTAATTATTATTTTCATGTAGTAGAAATGTAATTTTCAAATTTAAATGGTATAATAATCCAAATTATCTAAGGCATTTGTCATATAGTTGTAGCTGAGTAGTGTTCAAAGAAGCCGACATAGCCCTAGGGGTTATTTTGATTATGCTGCTAACACAACGTAGTGAATAATAGTTATAGCGATAGTAATGTAGCAGTGACGTAGTAACTAGTTTCTTGTTCCAAGTTAATTTGTAAATTAGTTTCCTCACATCCTTCAATCTGTCTTTCTTTTATTTCAGCCAACAGAAGCAGCTGGACCGGTAAAGACTGAAGTAAGTATAGTACAACTGGTTGATGTCCTGTTTGTTTTTTCTTGTGTTGCTTTTTCAAATTTTAACACAGTTGGAGTTGGGCGTTGGGTGCTGTCTATTTAATAGAAATTTAGTTATGCTTAATTCGTATTTGCATGTTGCATGATTGTACGTTTTCGTGTATTTGCAGTATCCGATTCTAATTCGTGTTTCTTTTCTTTTTGTTTCAGGAGAGTCAGCCAGTGCAGAACACCACCACCGAAAGCACGGCTTAGCGTTGTCGCGCTCAAGTCCACCATTCTTACTATAACCATACTATGTTAACAACTTATTAGCGCGTGAGTTTTTAAGCAGACAAAGGCATTTCATTACGGTTTAATTTGTGTGTACATCAAGTTTTAATTCCTTCAGAACTGCGTCTTTCCGAGTTTGGCGCCGAAGCTTTCCAGACGGTTGGAACGTCTACATTTTTGATACTTTTTATATATTTCTCAATTGATGTTTATATAAAAAAACTTGAAAAAAATCAATAATTTGTGAAGTGTTTACATAAACAACCCGATTGAAAGCGGCGACAAACTGTAATTATTGTTTATTGAGTCATTCGATACGTTTTTGAAATGTCTTAAGACCTTATGTCTTGCTGCGAAATAATTTTTTCCCTCATAACAAATAACAAAAAAATGCCACACAAAAAAAATACAACGTTCGCTCCTACAAACAGCAACTATGGGTGAACGTTGTACCAAAAAAATATGATTGCAACTTGTCTTTTCCCCGGTTGCAAACAAGGGAAAAGGAATTTATAAGTGAAAAAATTACAAAAAAATTCGAAAAAGACAAAAAGGGACGGTTTATTTCTCAAGTACTTTTTTCGTAGGGTTTTTTTTATATATTTATATATGGATGAATTGTAAAGTTTTTATTTATTTTGGTAAATTCGTCGGTATTTTTGGGTGCTAGTCATGTAAGTAATTTGCTGTGAAATACTTTGAAGAACTTCAGGCTTTACAACATTTCTAATGTAATGAATTGCAGCTTATGTTGTTTATAAGATCTTTTTGTACATATTGATTTAACGAGCAGTTGTAAAATGGGAAATAAATGCTGTTCTTGAAATTGCATTTTTATTCAGCTTCTTCCCTCGTGAACCTTGGCATTTGTTCATTTTTAAGCGCTAAGGCCGCAAAATTGTGCGAACACAATATAGGTCATGGTAATCGTAAATTGAGGTAATTATCGAACTTCGTTCAAACATTTAAATCGGCAAAGGGAACTTTGTTCAATCCTCGATTTTTCTTATTTTTAGCACTCTGGAAAGAAACCAGTTTTGAGATTTCCTCTTTGTAGCTATTGGCCAACAGAGAGCAACACTGACATCGTTCGGGTAAAGTTAAGAGGAATTCAAGCGGCTATATTTGACAAATGAGATTTATAAGAAAAAGATAAATGAGTGTGAAAAAATAATTCTATGTAATTAGTTTTCTCAAAACTTGATCATCCTGTTTACAAAAAATTAACGTTGTTCTGATGACCGACAACACATGGATATTTTCTTTGATTTGAAAAAATGCTCGTTGTTGTCCCATACTCGGTCAGATAATTTCCTCCTCATCTGGAGCACATTTCACTTTCACAAGAATCTTTGTTCTTATCGAAACTTTTGAACTCTGACAGTTAGTTTGAAGTTGGTAATTTGATATGTGTTGTTGTAATCTCAGTCCTCCAATTCTGACAATACAATGTAACAGGTGGTTTGTTAGTTTTAAATTTCGGGACAACTCTTAATTCATAAAATAAAATCCCGTGAAAGAACAGTCAAACACGCCATATGAACATCAATTTGAGAATTCGAATGTATGATCGTTGGCAAATTTTGAACGTAAGAGGTTTAACATAGCCAGCCTGGATCCCCACATTTTCAAATATTGAAATCTGAATCACAGTCTGAATTGCAACAAAATTTTTCTTGTTTGTGAGATAGGCAACCCATTTTACACTAAACTTCTAAAATGAACCACTTTTCCTGAAACATGGAATGTACAGAAAAAACTGCAACTTCGCTTGCGAAACGTATGATAAAAACTATGTCAACAAAATAAATGTTCTATTTGTGGCAACGAGAAGACAATTTTTTGGTGTTGCGGTTATGCGTAAAGTGTTGTATTACGCTGAACTCTAAAATGGAAAATCTTGCACAATCCTAAATCTGACAGACGAGAATATGTCTTTCATACTAGCGTAAATTCATTTTGTTGTAAACCCCTTATTTATTCGAGTTTATCGTTATCAACATGCAAAACAATAAATTGGTTGTTAGTAACACAAACTCAAAGTTTATTGATAACGTCGGTAATTATTTACCGGTGAGAGTTAAATACTGCAATGGAGCTTACTCAATTGTGTTTATAAACGGAATCAGCACCAGTAGTGTTAGATGATCTGGCAACCCAAACATCCCGCCAAAATGTGATATGTGCACAAAATTACAAAACCCGCGAAATTTTAAAATTAAACCTTGAGCCGTGATCGTCTGTTAAATGGAACCCTTCGTTGTCTGGACCCCGTTTATTCCTTTTTCCTAGGGAAGAAAAAGCTGTGCTAATTCACGGTGAAAGCCGGTATTACAGAAGATAAACATTCACATGAATTCAAAGGATTCACACATTAGATAAACAAAGTACATTTTAAATAAGGTGGAAACCTAAATAACGTGGTTCTAGAGCGGCGTAATTCGGGAATAAATGTTCAAATTCATGTCGTAAGGAGGTAATTAGACTAATATAAGATAAAATGAAATAAACATAAAATCTCCTCCCATTTCTAGTCCACGATGATATTAATTTAACTCAAAGGTCTTCCTCTCAGAATTGATCAATGTTTAAGATTAGTTTAACTACCATAAATTAGGTATTTTAAATCTCGAGTGAGAAGTTATACAGTGTGAATTATAATAACTTGGGTAAAATTCATCCAGAACTTTAGATATCGCAAAGATATAATTTCGAAGTCTTCTTTTTATTATTATTTTTTTTTTTGTATAGAAATACTACTGTTGTGATAACCCAATCACAAAATTGAGATGTGAAAAAAAATTGAAAGCCCGCGAAAAATTTAAAAATTCAAAATTTGGCGTTGGCTGTGATCGTCTGACAAAATGGAACCCTACGTTGTGTTTTTGAAAAATGGCGGGATGCATTCAGATGCAAGTGGTGGACCCCAAGGTTATTTATTCTTCCACTAACAAAAAAAAAAAGAAATAAGTGTTATACTGTAACATTTAAGTATTAACATCCAGAAACTTCACTCATAACTTTGTAAACAATGGGTCCTAGTTAGTGTTTGTCTGAACAAGTTCCTGATTGTTAAATTGTGTTAGAACTAGTTAACGATTAAACTCCTAACATGAAGTCTGCATTTACAAACAATGAATTAAATTTACACGTGTCGGCGTCGGTCAAAAATTCACATTTAATTAAGAATTAGCTGCGCGTCTTGGGGAAAACTGGACGCCGTCGTTACGATTAATTTTCGTTAAACAAACGCTTCCTCCCTTTTATTAACTACCAAACCAATTAATTTAACCTAGCTAACTTACAACGTCTTTTCACCATGCTCCCACACACACCACCAAATCAACAATAATGACGCTTTAACTAGAATCTCCTAGTGAGCTACCAACTACCCAATAAGCGCTAACGTGCACATAGTTGCCTATGTTTAACGATTTTTTTGATTAAATTTTTTTTCAAATTCAAATTATTCAAATGTGATTTCGCGCCGCTGTTAATTAATTCCAGCGCGAGAATTTGATTCAGATTCGGTCACCACACTGTACACAACGAAATTGAGAGAGTGATTATAAATTACCTATCGTATATCAAGTTGTGGAAAATCTGTCACTACACTAATTTTAATCATGGTACAAGTAATAAGAGTTTGGCAGTTGGTGGAATTGATTTATTGGTTCCCTACCTATCAAGCAGGAAATACTCATCAAGTTGGCTTTGAAATTTTGTGAATTTTGTCGGCTCGTTGTATTGCTTGATTACTACTCGTTCCCTGTTGCCTTAATTAGGTATAACACGGGTATAACCTAATTTTATAAGTTTTTCAGTGTATTTATTGCTTGATAGGTAGGTAGATAGAAAGATCAAAGATCAAGTACAACTTTTGCAAAAACAGGACAGTCCTTTGAAATAAAGGACGGTTGGCAACCCTACTCCAGACCCGAAAGTTAACAACTTTTTTAATAGTAGTTATATATTATAAAGGAAAATTTGGATTTTTTGTGAAAACTTGGATGCCTATAGTAAAAACTCAAGGTGTATTCATAAACCACAACTACAAGAGTATGTTATTTAAAAAAATCCATAACACCGTTCATGTTCTCTCAAAGTTTCATGAGCCAAAGAGTACGAAAAATAGATCTTCCATTTCCGTCTGTCGGCGCCTGCCACTATCGGTGTCGATCTGGGCAACACAAAAAAAAATTGGGTATGAGTCAATATCTACATCTTATTGACGAAATCAAGAACTTTTCAGCCCATTTTTCAGAAAATTTAGAAATACGGTACCGCTATTAGAATTATCGTATCCTATAGAGTCAAGGGCACTAAAAGAAGGTATAATGAAAGCGTTTAAAGGGATACCTATATCTGTTTTTTAATTTGGTGTTATATGTAATTTTGAAAATATTAGGCGTTCATTCCGGTTCCATATTTTTAAAACCGTGAAGATCTTATTTTTTAATAGCTTTTTCCATGACTTTACATTTATTTCGATAATACTTATAAGAACCTTTGGACTAGTCATCTGATAAGAGTAAATACATCGTTTAATTAAAATGAGCTGTTTTTGACCTGTGTTAGAATGCATTTTCAATTAGTTTGCCAAAATTCCGTGGAGGTCAAAAATTGTCTATATTTGCTATACATGCACCTATGACATTGATTTGTTATAAATTCAAATGACAAATTCTTTTGAACTTGGTGTATTCAGATTCTAATGTTCAATTTATGGAAATAATAATTTTTACTATTTATTGTAATTATAAAGTAATATTGTAAACAGAAATGAAAATACAGTTTAGATTACACTGTATACAAATCGTAATGATAGCTGTAATAAGCGTAAGCTTAGAACATACAATTCGTTTCAAGTCAATATAGCGATAGTATAAATCTCGGGTGGGGAGTGACTAGTAATGTTTGTGATTTTTTTTTGTCAGGGTGTCAATTTATTTAAAATTTTATCATGACATATCTGATATCAAACTGACAACTGTAAACTGACATGCTAATATTGCTGCCAATAATTCAGAACTGCCAACCCAAAAATTTGCTTCAATCATTAATAGTCAACCGGTATTTTATCAGGTGTGCTAGTTGTAAAAGGTTAAACAATACCCTGCCACGACATTTAAAATAATCTTTATGAGTCTAAACATACGAAATGGTAAATTAGTTTTATCTATTCTCTAGACTTTGATGACTTGTTTGTGACGCCATTAATTTCTAACTGACATTTTTACTGTTTTTAGTCCGAATAAAACATTTTTATCACCTCTAGACATTTTTTTATACCCAACTGAAAAATTATAAAAATGAAAAAACATTCGAAGTGGTAATTAAATTGCAGTTAGTTTGATCACAGTTCTATGAAGTCAATAAAAAAAATAAAAAGAATTTAATAATTATTTTATTTGTTTTATTTCTGAAAATTTTCATCTAAGTCAATCAAGACAATTAACAAATATTCCCCTTGACAATATTCCATAGATTTGAACCGTACTCTATTGCAATGTAATCTATGTTTATGTTTCGTTATCTTATTACTTAAATGCTCTGATTGCTGTACGATCACAATGACTGTTGCTTTTTTCAACCTTTGTACTTCACACCGTAACCTGGTTCAAACACCATGTTTATCGTTTTACACTTTCCACGTAGATAAAGTCCACTTTATATACAGCACACTTCTATAGTGAAACAGTTTTGGTGTAAACATGACTGCGGTAGTTAAAAAAGGTAAGATGACTACGAGGTCTGTTCGAAACCTATTAATATTATTTCAGGGATCGTCATTGTTGCGGCTAAACGCACACCCTTCGGTACTTACGGAGGAAAATTCGCTAAAACTTCTGCAACAGAACTACAGACAGTTGCAGCAAAAGCTGCACTAACTGCAGGAAATGTAAACCCTGAATTAATCGATACAGTAATCGTTGGAAATGTGATCACTGTGAGTTTACTATTGGTGTTAATTTTGACTGATTTTTTGTTCTGTATGTGTTATTTGTTTAGCATTCTTCTTCTGATGGAGGTTTTCTATCTAGACACGCTGCCTTAAAATCCGGCGTTCCTCAAGATCGTCCAGCTCTTCTTGTCAACAGACTTTGTGGTTCAGGATTCCAGTCCATCGTCAATGCCGTCCAAGTAAAGTTTCTTGCTACTGTGTTTTCTTAAATATTGAATCATGTTTTTAAAGGACATACAAACAGGGGTTGCCCAGATATCCCTTAGCGGTGGTGCAGAAAATATGTCTCAAGGTCCACATATAGCCAGAAATCTTCGTTTCGGTGTCCCACTTGGCCAGAATGTTGTTCTAGAAGACACTCTAACTTCTGGTTCTTTGGACACATACTGTAAACTGTCAATGGCACTTACAGCTGAAAAGTTGGGAGCTCAGTACAACCTTACAAAAGACGAAGTCGACGAGTTTGCGTTGAGGTCGCAACAGAATTGGAAAGCTGGTATTTTAAGATTTTCATCTGTATATCTATTACTAATAGATTTAATTTTGTAGCTCAAGATGCTGGTCGTTTCAAAGAGGAGTTAGCACCAGTTACTATTAAAAGTAAAAAAGGAGAAGTCACGGTGGACGTTGATGAACATCCACGCCCTCAAAGTACTTTGGAAGGACTGAAGAAGCTACCTACATTGTTTAAGGAAAACGGACTAGTTACAGCCGGCTCAGCTTCTGTAAGTTTTGTTCGTTGTGTTTATTTAATTTTTGACGCTCTATTAATATGTTTTAGGGCATCTGTGATGGTGCTGGAGCAGTCATTGTTGCCAGTGAAGAGGCAGCTGGTAAACATAATTTGACACCGTTGGCCAGAATAGTTGCCTTTTCAATAGTGGGTGTTGATCCTTCAATAATGGGAATAGGACCGGCACCTGCTATCAGAAATATTCTTAAAGCAACTGGAAAGACTTTGAACGATATTGATTTGATCGAGGTAGTAATCAACATTATCATTATAATTGTTATGACATATCAACTTTTTCTTTTAGATTAATGAAGCTTTTGGTGCTCAGACTCTTGCCTGTGCTAAAGAGTTGAAACTGGATATGACCAAACTGAACGTGAACGGTGGTGCCATTTCTATTGGACATCCCCTAGGTGCTTCAGGATCTAGAATTACCACTCATTTGGTTTACGAGTTAAGGTAAGATTTAACTTATTGACTGTCATGAGCAAAAGATTGAATAAAATATTGTTTTTTACAGACGAAGGAAAGCGAAGTTTGGAATTGGATCTGCATGCATTGGAGGTGGGCAAGGTATTGCAATCATGGTTGAAGCTCTGTAATAATTGTTTTTTTAATTTACCTTGGATTTTATCAAGAACCTTATATCGATAATTGCATAACTGTATTTTACACACCTGTAATGGCTATAAACAAAATAAAGTTTATCTTGAGTGTTTGGTACACAATCTCATGAGTCATTTATTATTATTCCTTGTTGTTCATGATAATATTAAATAATGGTAATTTCTTTAGGTAATGTGCATTATTATAGTTTTAATGTCAACAAAAAAAAAATATGTTGACCCTAAAACGATTAAGTTGACTTGTTTACCTTTTCTTCCGCTTCGTAATTGTTGCTTCAACCTCCTGATCTACAATGTTAAGAAAAATTTTTCTTTGTAACACTTTAAGTGAAAAGAAGTGTTAATACGTTGGACTTGAGGCTCATGGTTTTTGTAATTGTTATGGTCAAGGAGTTCTTCTCAGTTTTTCCTACTATGTATCAGTTTATTAGTGATTTTCTAATCTTGTAGCATGCTATTTTTACTTGCCGGTGTGTGGGGCGTATTATAGGGACCACACAAATTCTCGGGTATTTAACACCGGTCTTGAACACCATAAAAGACAAATAAAAATACTAAAGGGTCTTGTTTTGTTTAACTACCATCAAGTAGATGTTCACATAAAACACGTGTAAGGAAATTTTCTTATTCAAGATTAATAATAAGGAATAAAATTCACGTCCCACATGACCCACAATGTTATTAATTTATTCAACGAGATTTTACAGTTCAAACATGTGCTCGGTTCAAAAATACTCTTTCAACATAGCCGCTGTCAGAACAAAGAATTTACCTGATGTTATATTATGTCACACTTTATCAACGATTCAAACAAAGAATTTACATTATGTTAAATGATGCCTTGATCCAAGTGATTAGTTACTTAAAACAATTAGCTTTGAGAGTTTAAATCGTGGACTGTCCCCAAAACACATGATAAATAAACAACACAAAATGTATCAGGCGTTGCGAGAAAAGCTTCTCGGTGATGTAATTTTCCACTTTGTGAGAGAATGTGTCACGGTGATACAATTTTCACGTTGCGAGAAATATGTCTCGGTGATATGATGATTGATGATAATAACGATGATAACTGCCTAAAGGGAAAAATTTGTAATTCCTCCGTACCTCAGTTCACGTTATGAATTCTACCGCACTTTCACGGTCCTTTTCCCAGAGTGGGGCAACGTTAGATTGATTTAACTGCCGTAAATGAACTATTAGCAATCTTGTGTTAGGAATTAAGAAGTCTTATAATGTAACTATAAGCATTCAGAAACGTTATTCATAATTAGATAAACAAAGGATGAGCCCCGACGAAGTGAATTTCATGACGTCTCCTAGCAAGTATGTACTTCATCTAAACAAATTCCTAACTGTTCAACTGTGTTAGAACTAGTTAACGATTAAACTCCTAACATATTTGGCTTGGAAAAAAACCGCAAGAATTACCTACGCGTGTTGGGGAAACTGTGGCGTCGTCGTCGTTACGATTAATTGTCGTTAAACAAAGGCTTCCCCCTTTTTTATTAACTACCAAATCAACTAAACTTAACCTTGCTAACTCACTACGTGGTTACTCACAACAAACACACCAAAAGTGACCCTCTCAGCCCTCTAGCAACCAAATCAACTTCTACCAATGCTCTCAACAGAAATTCCCCAGGAGAGCTACCAACTACCAGAAAAGAATTAAACGTGCACATGGTTGCCTATGTTTAACGATTTTCTTGATTGATTTTTTTTTCAATTTCAAATTATTCAAGTGCGATTTCGCGCCGTTGTTGATTATTTTCAGCGCGAAATTTTAATTCAAATTCGGTCACCACACAGTAAATGTTTAAAATGTTCACCGTTTTGTTCAAGGCACATGTTCACTCTCTTTTTAATTTCAAAAATGTCCTGTAATCGTTTTGTCGATGCCCATTGTTCAATTTCTCCTGACTCCTGAGGAAATTTTGTCAAAGATGTTTGGGTCTCAAATCATCAACAACTTCCTCAGATACTGAAGGTCTTCCACGAGATTTTTCTTTGTTGACACTGCTAGTTCCAACAAATCTGTTAATTACATTTCTAATGTGAACCTCTAGCCATGTTTCTTGAATTATTAAGTCACGGCGTTTGGCCAGATATTCTTGCTTACAAGCGGTTACAGAATACACACACTCGCCGTGCGATAATAAGACATAACAATGAAAGTGTCTTGTTCAAGAGAATAAACCATTTTCACAATGTTCGCTCCCTAGCACAAAAACAAAAGTTTCGAAAACGACTGTTTTGTTATTTTGAGAATGGATCAACGAGAATTATTGTAATTCATCCTTGAAAAATATTAAAACACAACATTGAAACAATAAAACAACGACTTTAAATGACAGGTTACGGATTTATGAAATCCATGGCCAACTACGCCCTCAGAATCATTTATAAAAGCCATGTAGTTCACTTATAGGGTATGTCGAGTGTACTTTGTGCTTGGTTTTTAGGTCTTTGTATTTGCGTATCATTGTTGGACAAGCTGAATTTGGAGATTTTATTGATTTGTATTAATAAGTATTTGTCTGTTGTGTTTATTTCATATGTGCTTTATTTATGTGGTGTACAAGGATTTGTCGAACAAGTTCACAATCTAAAGTTGATGACTGAACTTCACCTAAATTTTATTATTAACTTGATTAATGCATATCATAATTTAACATTATGTAAATCTTTTGTGGTTTGAAATTTCATTTTGCTTGTTTCCTTTTTTGTAATTATGATACTCATTTTGCTATCGTCAAATTTGGGAGATTTTAGTTGAAAGTTTTTCTCTCCTTGCCGTTTCCACGTGAATGTTTATCTGCAATACCGGATTTTCAATCTTAGTGTTACCATACAGTTACTCTATTTAAAATGTCTGCCTTTTTGTATGTTTAAATTTGTCAACTATTTGTTTTAAATTGTAACAATGGAGGATAAACAATTTGCCTTTCATATTTTGCAGTTTGATTTAAGAGCACTTTCCCAACTTTGGGTTCACCGCCATTTTGTTGACGAAATCGCATTTGAAAATTTAAAAATAGAAAAAAAAAATCTTTTAAACCTAGGCAACCATATATATGTATAGGGATCCTCAGTTAGGATAGACAATTTAGACAATTAGGGAATGCCACTTTAGGTAAAATTAATCGCATCGACCCCAGACAACATGATGTCGTCTTTTTCACGTGAATAAATGGTCATCATTTACGTCATAGTGACCAAATATTTCACGTGATATTGACGTAATGTACTGACGTCTTAGAGTCGTCATTTTGTAACGAACTATTGACGTGATGTACTGACGTCCTAGAGACGGCATTTATTGTCCATTTTAAGACGTTTTTTATATTTTGATTTTTAGAAAAAATATGCAATAAATAAAACGCCGAAATAATTTTATATTTTTATATTGTTTACCTTAAATAAAATATTATAATTCGTTATAATCACCAGGTAAACCCCAAAACAAAGTATATATTAATTAAAGTTAAAACAAATTAGTGTAAAAAAAATTAAATTTACTACAATTTTGTACAACCAACAATGAACTTCAATAAACAAATAAAAAAATATGTCAATTAAACAAATTAAAGATAAACCACTCCTAACAACACAAACAAATCTAGATACAGGTAATTGCGAGTATAATTAGTATAAACAAAAAAAAAGGATAATGTACAATATATAATCAAAAATAAACGTTGCAATAGAATATGCTATTTAAAGAAAAATCAGTTTTAAAAACACAAAGAAATCTATTTAGTTACAAAGAGTGTTAAAAGAACTATAAATCAGTCTTAAAAACACAAACAAATTTACTTACAAAAAATATTTAAAAAAACTAGAATAAAGGGAAAAGACAATTGAATCGCAAAGTTACTTGATTTGAAAATTGTAAAACCACATTATGTGTAAAACTATCTAATTCACGACGACTTGACTATCCCCAACACAGAAAAGTACCGTTAAGAATTAATTCTATTTTAATAATCATATCAATAACCTAGTTTTTTTAAGTTTGCCTCAATTTATTGCACTGGAAAGAAAAACCCGTTAGAGCGCATGGATTAATGGAAATGCAATCATTTTTTCGTCTATGGGCAATAGCAAGCATTTGGCCATTATTAAATTTAAGGGATTACAGCTTAAAGCAGAAGACAAATTCTGCATTTTAAAAATGCTAAATTTACTTGAATCTAACGGATAATCGTAAAATGGTTGCATTGACAAAAACGTACAGCCTATCAGGAAAATCTCGTTGTCAATACTTTTTACAATGAAGCGAAATGTGCCATATATAGTAATTTACCAAAAAGTATCGTAGTAATACAGGCATCTACCTGTATATAATATCCAATATTATGTTATATATGTATAAATGAATTTATTGTATTTTTTAACTTACAAAGAAATCTGATTGTTTAAATATGCAAAGATAATCTTGTAATTCGTCAAAATTTGTTTAGGTGTGGTCTTGGCGGCATAACTTCTATTTTTGGTTTCTTTTTCAGTTGTCAGATTTGATGATGTTTCCATGTTGGAGATTTTTTCACTCGTTTCCTTTAGCATGTCTTTCGTTTCGCACATGTGTTTTGTATTTGTTTCAAATCTAGAAGAAAATTATGTTCATTAGCATCAGTTCATAAAAAATTGCAGTAACATACCTTTGCAATATTTTATAGCGCCTCATTTTCAACGTAAAAATTAAAATGATTACTTTATTAGATATTAACTTACCTAGTATAAATAAGTACAACTCACACAGAATGGCATAAATTTTCACAAAACTGCGTTAAAAGCGAAGTGAGTAACGGATACACGAAAAAGTTTCGGTGGTTGAGAACCAACTGGAAATATTGGAATGCTTCACTGTGAAGTGCAATAAACATAAATAACGAAAAAAGGGAAAGTCCGAATGGACACCCCAAACATCTGAGGAAGTTGAGCATTATTTTTTCATTAGATGAAATAAATTTAATAAAACTGAATACTAATCACTAGAGAGCGGAAAATATGCAGCAAAATTTTGGGAAATATGATCATATGATATGCATCAAATTTATGCAAATATGCAGTAACTTTCTTAATATATGCAGAGATAT